ATTCCTGACCCAAAAATTTATTTTTGAAAGGCCAAACAACCAATTGTTGATAATTTAGTTGATAATTTTTAAACTTAAATAAAGCAACAATTTTTATACAAATGGTAAGTCTCATAGTGTTTCGAAATCAATTATAAGGATAACAGTAATTTGAAAATGTAACCGTTTATCTTATCTTGGCTTAAGGATGACCATGAATCTAATTCACCATAAGTATATTTGTACCCGAATATACATTCCATTCATCCTCTAAACTATTTCTGCACAGTTCTAAAGCCACCCCTCCCCAGCCACATTCTCAAGGGGTATTCTAAAATTTAGACCACCCCTCCCCTCCCTAGCAAAAGGTGCTACGCGTTTAAATATGTAGCTATATAGTCGTGTCCGGTAAAACACTCGATTTTATCAAGGCCGTATAAATATAATTGAATATTTTTCTTCTACTCAAGTATTTGATGTTACAAGAAAATGGCGGGAATAGTCAATCGGATTTATTGATCGTATGACTAAGAATTTCGTCTAGATGTAGATCGATAATGATAGGAATATGAAAACCTGTCAAAAACGTTCGTAAAAAACAATGTTTCATTTCATAAACTGAACCGAAAAATAGTAATTGTCTAGTCATGACAGGGCATTAAGCCATTTCCGAGCAGTGAGAAGAGTCTGATTTTCAGCACTGGACAATTCCGAGATGGGGTCTGTGGTTTGACCCCTAGCAATAGCTGGGCTCAGCAGCCAATGGGTGTCCTCGAAGGATGACGGGGAGGAGTCTTGGGCCGCGCTCCGGAGGCTCCGGCTCCGGATGGCGTCTTATGACGTCACCCTCTCCGTGGTGCAATCGGCTATCCTAAGAATAAATAAGACCCATGTCCAGGTGTTCGGAGTGGGGTCTTGGTGTTAGCTTCAGAGCTCTCATTGTTTCCTACATTCGTTGACGTCATGCTATGGGCTCTGACGCCACCCCTAGGGTTGATCTCTGGTTCTTTAATTTTTTTTACGTCATGCTATGGGATCTGACGTCACCCTGCGATCCGCCCTGATCATCCCGGCGTAGAACCGCTATTGTGTATACTACTAGCTACCCCTCCACGCTATAATTGAAAGTCTTAATATATATATTAGGCACTGCCTAAAAGCGGAGCTCCCGATACGGAAGTCACAGGGAGWACAATTTGAATGAAACTGAAAGGTGAAAATAAGATCTTCAATTATTTTTTATTCGAAATGATGATAATTTCTCCCATAATAAAAACCATGCAGTGAAATCGAATCGAAATGCACTACATTGTTGTTGTTTTTTTGKTTTTTTTTTTGAGCGAGTATACTCTCCCACTCAGGTATTTTGTACACAACTTACCACCACCCCCAGGGGCTAGTTTTGTTCTTGGAAGATTCTTCGACAAAAAGTTTTCCAAGGCCTACAGTTTTAGGCTTTGAATCTCTTTTACTTAAAGAAAAATAGACGCTCGATGAGCGCATGTTGCTACTGCAGAATTGCGAAACTGGGATTTAGTTCATTTATTTTTATTGGAATGCTTTAACATACATGTTTTTACGGGTTTTCTGAGAAAGCAAGTGTAATCTATATATTTTCGTCCGCGTTGAGGGGTATACCCAGGATTTTCTCCGAGGTATGGACTGCAATTCCGCTTCATTGATCTTCTTTTGTCTTTTAATATAGTTTCTCACTAAATTACTTATGTCGTGTTTTTCTATGACAACGTTTTTGCTAGACTCTTCCACAGTCTCTCGCTCGTCCGTTCCGTCTCCACGCTTAGAGACTGTAACGGTACAATGACCGAAAGGACTTATGGGTCCCGAAAACTTGGACCCAGCGTGCTTTGGGAAGTCTCTCTAGTTTCAATATTTTCAAGATGGCGGCGAAAACGAGAGAGACTGTGGAAGAGTCTACGTTTTTGCAAGTAGGTATATATATTTATAGATTTCCCTCCACTTTTCTGGAACGCATGTGCGTAATAACATACAACTAGGTATGTTATTGTGGTTGTTGTTTTCAAATTATGGCTCGCCCTGGCACTAGTTTCCTGTCTTTGCGTTTGGTAGTTTTAGACCGGGCTGAGAGCTGAATGTTTTGGAGAGAGACGTCAAAAGAGCTGTTTTGAGTGTTCTCAAGTTTCGTTGAAAATGTCCAAATATTATTTTCTGTTTGTTGTGGTCGCTACGTCAATTTTTTTTTGAGCGGGCAGAGTGTAATAGTGCCAGCTCTATATTGAGAAACCTGTAGAATGTAGAACGAAGCAGACCATTTAACGTATATATACACAATTTATTGAAATAAGAAGTAGTTCAAGGTATTTTGAAACTTCTTTCTTGTTAATGAGGGGTTATCAGGTTGCGTGACATTTAAAAAGTTTAATCCAACATAAAAAATAATATTCGAAAAGAACATGCCAAAATTAGTAAAAGAGGCTAGGTTATCCTCCGAAGAGGCTCAATTATCCTCCAAAGAGGCTCAATTATCCTCCAAAGAGGCTCAATCATCCTCCGAAGAGGCTTTTGCTTTCCCAATAAAGGATTTATCTGCATACAAAGCTCATTGTCTGTGATCAGCCAGGTTTGTCTTCGCTGTCCTGCCTGGTAATTTCGGCGTAAAAATCGGCCTAAAATTTGAGTAACACTTGCAAAACCTTTCATTCAATAGTACAGATAAACCAAATGAAAGTTGTGATAAATAAAAGTGAAAAATTTTATAAAAACACTTCACTTACTTGAACTTTGAACAATCAACCATGAACAGTCGAGTCTCCCACTACGAGGTTCTAAGGCCGTCATCGGTTGTCATCCCCCTCGGCAATAATCGGAGTACAGCGAGATTTTGTTGTTCAAGCGTTGATTGGTTCCGAAGTTTGTTCATCGTTTCGTATCGAATTGTTTATTATTGATGATGATTGCTGATTGGTTCCGAAGTTAATCACAATGCCTCGAAACCCTTTCGACTAATTCCGAACGTTTGCCGAGTCACACTCACTCTTACGGACGGACGGACACAACTCGATGACATAGTGGCTTCGCCTCTTCGAGGCAGTAGCCACAAAAGCGAAAGCTAACTACAGATTATCCAATACAATATCAAGTTTAGTGAAATTTACCTCGGATGTCTTTCATTGAAATCGAAAATCTGGAGATTTAGGACAAATCAAGACCAAAAACCAGACTTGAAAACTGGTTAAGGTGAGCAAAAAAGGACTTTTACAGTTTTCCAAAAACAGAGCTTACATTCATTTAAACAGTTGACAAAAAAAACTGAGACAAAATAAAAAATAGTGCAAAAGGCAATGCAATACAAAATGACTCATTTCTTTTTGCACTAAATTGGCGTTTGTAAATGTTTTTGAATATGTCTTAGCTTTTTAGACTGAAAGTCTAGTAGGTCTTTATACAATAACATCTTTCAACAACACAAATTTAAGCTCATTTTTATAATCATACTTGCTCGAACAGCTTAATAAGCAGTTGAATATTTGGTAAAAATTTAAATTTCATTCAATGATTAAATAAATTATCCCTGTAGAAAGATATAAAATTATTGAATGAAAGTCTTCTTTGTTTTGCCTACTGGATCCCGCGATAGGAGGCGAACAAAGCTTTTTCTTGAACGAAAACCTTACGATAGCTGGTTAAAAACAACCGAATTGTTAAAGATTTACAAAGCTAAATAAAGGACGAATATTTGTTGTAATATGCTCTTCATGTCATATTTCCTCCAGCATTAAAATAAATTAAGCTTATCGATAGAAATATAGAAAGTTTTGAGAGAAAGTCTTTGATTTGTCGATTCGTCGAGAAAAATGCTTGTCAAAAAAATATATATATACGATTGTTTGCTAAAAAACACACACCTGAATTCTTGAAGAACACTTCTTGATCCATCTTTGACTACATGAAAGTTTTTTTWAAATTGTTTTTGGTCTATAACTTGTCCTAAAGCGATTTTTTTCTGTGCATTTGAGAGCCGCATTTGTGAGTAGTTTTGCTTTGACATCAAGCGGGATTCCTGTGTTGTGTACAGGGACGGACGGACGGAAGTGACGTCAGCCAAGCCATGAAAAATCAACTCGATGGTTTACCATTTTTTCTTAAGTATGGGGCCCGCGCGGGAGCTCCGCTAAAACTTTTTACTCTTTGGCCCGTGAATATACCATCACATGTAGTACATTCACATGTTAAGTTATCACCTTTTATTTTTCGCTCCTGAATCCTATAGTTTAATTGCGAAAATTGATATAAACTAACCTTTTAGTTATTTGGCAGAATGCGAGGTTTTCCCTGCAGTCTGTTTTCTATTTTTGCGCGACGCCGCATTGCAGATATGCACGGGCTYAATGCTAGCAAGGTTTGAGATTTGTCATGCAGGCCTGGTTACAATAAAAGAGCCAGAAGTATGCCATTGAGTATCCCAAACAGCTTTACTTACCAGACAAAGATCATGGTGGTTCCCACGGGTAAAGTGAAAATTAGCATCAAAGTTCAGTCATGTGTGCGCGTTTTTTTTTGTTTTTTGTTTTGTCTCGAAATTTAACGTCATTCTATAGGAACTTCGTGAATATCTGCAATCGATAAATCCATTTAGTCGCGAAGGGGTTTTCCTAATGTGACAAAATAGATTTCTCTCACCCTTTTTGGCCTGAAGAGTTCAGAGAGGGGGCAGAGGTCTTCTCCCTACGCCACTCGTAGTGAGAGTTGGCCTTTCTTATGGCTAAGTACAGTTACATCAGTGGGCCCACTAGCTCAATCCACTTACAGTATTCAAACATATTACGTTATGATTCAGTAAAATTCATTTGGTGTATGTTTTAGAAATTTGAACTTTCTTTTGAAACTCCTTGACACTGATATGTTATACGGAGTATCATAAATTGGTTGTGGCGAAATTCAGCGATAAAGAAATTAATTCAAATCAATAGTGCAGTTGAATAGACTAGTTACTCTTCTACAATACACCAAAACATTAAGACAGCAAACTTCATTTGGTGGTGTCGTAATATCCATTTTATTTCATTTTGATAACTAAGCAATTGATGCGTGGTGCATGATATTTAATTTAACTCAACTTTGCATGATTTCGTCAATGAATTTGCCGTAGTAATCTTCACTTTCCGAATCATTTTGTTGGGCATCATTTTGCATTCCCTCTTTATTTATTTTGGGGTCTGCCATTTTTCTATTGTAAATGTCAACTTTATTGTTGATACTTTGCATGCACTGAAAGGAAAGGGGTTGACCAAGACGTTCAAGAGGACAGTCAAGCATCAGAAAAAAGTTTTTGACAAAATTCTCATTGCTGGATACCATGTTAACACCTCTCCTCTTGTAAACATCCAACCAATAAGACATCATGGTCTCGGGGTCTTTGACACCAGCAAATGACACCAATCCTCCTCTTTTGGGAGCCGGAATGCCTTGTCTTAAAAATTTCATAGCAGCAAACATTCTCCACATGTACTTGCTCATTTTCAGCAAACATTCTTCTAGGATTTTTCCTTGACAATGAATGTATTCCTTGATGCTCTCGCCCCAGTTCTCTATCATAGATACCCATAAGTCGTTCAAAGGCAGTTTAGCTGTTTGGTATTGGTTTAGCTTCATTTGGGTTCCTCCAACCACATGACGTATGGCGCCACGCGTGTGATAAGCCTCGGCAGCGTACAGCAAAGCCTTAGCAAGAATGGCTGTTAATTAAACAAAAAGATTATTATAATCTGGCAGAAAGTGTATTTACGTATTATTCTTATCTTTTCAAAAAGTGACCAAAATTTCAATATACTTTCCCAAAGATGTACATAGATTTACATAGAACCGCAAGCGATCGCATTTATCTTACAAAAGGATGGCTAAAAGATGTTCAACTACTAACCGAATGAACAAAAAATATATTTTGTTAAAGAAATGAATAACGAGATGTGAAAAGAAAGAACTCAGAAAAGAAGCTGAGTTTCAGATGGGATTTAAACCCACGTAATCTAATCCAACCACTGAGCCTTCTCGTATTACTCTCTTTGTGATCTACGGTCGTTTATGTAGTATTTCTCATACATGAACTGCAATTCAGTAGTTATTACGATATATGTACTGCGGTCCAACAGTAACTAATTATCYCTAAAAAATATGATATATATATGTTCTTTTTTAGTCAATTTGAGTTGCTAAATAGTTTGGGTATAATCAGTTATAGTGTTCATTGGCGTGCACGGTATGATTTTCACTCAGATCGGGCTATATATAATAGTGATTATTATTTCTTATTGAGGACCTTCACTAACTTACTGAACTGCTAATCAGTCGATCTACAGATAATGTTCTTGCTATGCTACATGCTTAATCAAAGGCAATCTAATCGTGAAACATTAGCCCAGTAATCTATATTCCATTGCAAACCTAAACTATCTTTGGGTGATCCATAGCCGTTCTGAAGTACAGATATTTGTTCCACTAGTTGCTGATACTTCTCGTTATGCGCAGCTCTTGATACTTTAGCCAAAGGAACCTGTGAATCGAGTGCCTTGATCTGACTCCGCCATGTTTGCAGTGCAGTAGTTCTTGCGGAATCCGATTGAAGATTCAACAAAGCTGTTTCCCAAAGTTTTTCTGCAAATTCTTGGTTATATTTGAATACTTTGTAGTAAGAACTTGCAAGTTCTTGCATTTGGTAGTTGATAGTACCTTCTGCTGCTTTAACCTGGTTTTCAAAATTTGATGGGAGACCCGAGAATATCGAGGGCATGGCGTATTCAAGAGTAAAAGCGTAAACATTGGTATCAAACACCAACTCTGAAGGCTTTCCAAAGCCGTTGCTAGGATCTTGAAAATACTTATTGAATTTAGCGGTTACGGAACCAGAATCCTTGCCTATCAGTCCAACATCATAATCAGACGTGCAAGAGGCAGTTCCATAAGGTTCTGGATAGCAGACAGAGGAAGGGATTCTGTTTAACGCTTCATCTTTTCCACAGGACATCATGGTTCCTTTACTGACCTCCAACAACACATGAGTCACAAACAGATATCTCGCTGCTGTAATATAAAGAAGTTCCAAGCATTTCCCTGTTTTTCTGAATTGTGGATTGCTTTTTGTTTTCCCCCAGTCATTATTCCTTTTAAAGAATTCCCTTGCCCTAGAAGCAGCGATGAGAAATGCCTCGTCTTTCAAATACGGACCAAATTGGCCTTGCTTTTTCCACATATCTCTTCCCTCCATCTTTTGGAAACCGTACTTATCAATGATGTTTTCCGTAAACCATTTAATGTCATTTGCATTGGCCAAGTTTTCATCTTCATAAAAATTCAACCTTAAAGAAAAATGTTATTTCATTAATTGTAGTATAATCTAAGCATTGAAATAAAAATAATTATGTAATATAATAAAATATATAAGAACCTCCCATTATTATTATTAGTAGTAGTAAATATTTATATATATATAATAATAATAATTATCATTATCATAGCATTATAGCATTATAGCATTATAGCATTAT